ATGCTGGCCTGCTTCATGCTTTGATCTCGTAGTCAGTTAGTTGTGAGTTTGATGCTGGCCTGCTTCATGCTTTGGTCTCGTAGTCAGTTCATTGTGAGTTTGATGCTGGCCTGCTTCATGCTTTGATCTCGTAGTCAGTTAGTTGTGAGTTTGATGCTGGCCTGCTTCATGCTTTGGTCTCGTAGTCAGTTAGTTGTGAGTTTGATGCTGGCCTGCTTCATGCTTTGGTCTCGTAGTCAGTTCGTTGTGAGTTTGATGCTGCCCTGCTTCATGCTTTGGTCTCGTAATCAGTTAGTTGTGAGTTTGATGCTGGCCTGCTTCATGCTTTGGTCTCATAGTCAGTTCATTGTGAGTTTGATGCTGGCCTGCTTCATGCTACATGTTTTAGAAAAGTATTCAATTGTTATTTTATTATGAACATTTGTCCTTGTTTTACTCAGATGAAGAAAATATTTATTTTACTCTTTTTGAAATTCATCCTTCTTATAAAAAATAGAGAGAAATGTATTGTTACAGATAAATGTGTTTACTATTAGACTTACTGAGTTATTACTTTTGTCTGTTTTGTTGTTCTTCGTACTAATTTTATTTCAAGTTTTTGTTCGATAAACAGATTTTTTTTTGTATTCACAAAATTAAATACCTTGGTGGAAAATGTATTGTTATGGTATACCTCAGTATATTGTAAGTGTGGGTGTAGCAAATCTTACTTTCTGACTCACTGAAGATACAATTTGTAATAATTTATGCTACACTTTTCTCAGTGTAACAAAGTTTCTTGTTACACAAGATAAGGAAACTCTTGGTAGTAAGAACAATGTGCTGTTTGCATGTATTCAATAATTTTACATATTTTCTTATGCAAAAATTTCACAGGTCATACTTAATACGCTTAAGGCAGACATCTTCACTACAGTATTAAAAATGGTTAAGAATTGTATCGTAAAGACTTTTAGCAGAATGCAAGTTATATAGAGAAATATTCTTGCTAATTTCATTTGGTAAAATTAGTTCAAGCTATCTGAGTTAAGACAGTAAATAATTGCCTTCAAATATAGCTCATAATTAATTATTTATTAATTTTTAATATTAATATTAATATTAATTATTAATTTTTTGTGTATTTATAGTTTTATATATGTTAATATTAATTGACAGTTATAAATCTTTTTGGAATATTATACAAAATAAAAACCATGCCACTTTACTTTCCAAATTAATTTTCAAATAATTACTCGGTTACTTACTGGCTTGAACTACATTTATAAACACCAGATATTTTATTTGCCAATACTCGTTTCTTAATAGTTCTTCACTTGCTATCTAGGTTTTTAAATACTTTTATATGATAAATATAAAGTGCTACACTCATAAAATTAATTTCTAAAAAAAAAAACTGTTTATCCAATGGCCAGGCCTTTTGAATTTTTTACCTGGATCTACTGTTTCTTACATTTTTCATGATAGATTGTAGATGTAAATATAAAAAAAGTGTGATCTGAAATAACTTCTTTAAACTGGGTAAAATTTGTCTTAAAAAACATTTGCTTAATACTTAATAATTTACACTAAAATTAATTTATCCTGTGAGAATATTCTTTGTGAATACATGTAAAATATCAACCATATTTAATAAACAGACATTGGGTAATTATCTCTGTTAGAACAATTCTTAACAGATTAAGAAGACCCTGATGTGTGACTTCTCTGCCTGATTCCAGATTCCCGTGAAGACTCCCTAGATAGTTTGTTTATCTCTGTGCTAAAGAAAGTTGGTTCTCTTATTCGGCAGAGAAGTCACACATCAGAAGTTAGTCATACTGAAGCTCATTATCATGGAGGATTAACACAGGATGAGAAAATGGAAATTGGGAAGGTATGCTTTTACATATATGTATGATTAATATACAGTGTTATGAATGTACTTTATAGAAATGACCACTAGGTAGCAGTGCACAGTAAATGGTGGTTCTTTCTGTGGATTTGTTGTTGAATTGGAGAATGAACCAAGTGGCTGCCCTATACTCAGTTGTGAGTTTACAATAAAAGTTAATAACTGTTTGGATTAATCAGATACGATATGACTCTCACTTTTATTTTAGCATTGTTGATCTGAGGATGAACTCATTATATGAAATAGTAACAAAACAATAAGACATACGCATAAATCTAAAACTCACTGAATAGAAAAATATTATTACATTATTAACTCCGTACAATACTGAAGCTGGTGACTGGATAGTAGTAATTGAATATTGACTACTTATCCTAAAATGTTTAAAATAAATTTTCTACTGGCTTAACTGCATAAGAAATACTTCACATGAGATACTTATGATAGAGAAGTTTCAGGAAATTGTAACTGTGCACTGATATAGTGGTTTTAGGGTATTTGTAATAGTTGACAGAGGCAGCTGTTTTAAATAGATGATTTTACTTATGCATTTCTAAATTGGTAGACCTGACATGACCTGCTGGATAGGGCACTCAACTTGCAATCTGCAGGTTGTAAACTTGAATCCTGTCACAAAGATGCTCACCCTTTCAGCCATGAGGATGTTGTAATGTGACAGTCAATCTCACTAGTTGTTGTTATGTTGACTATCTTCTTTTCCTCTAGTCTATCACTTCTAAATTAGTAGATGGCTAGCACAGATAACCCTTGTGTGAAATTTAACAAACAAACAATCAAAATTAGTTTGTCTTCTTTTCTTTGTACCTTGTTCCTTTTATGTTCTGTTTTTTTTAATGTGCTTATTGCAATGTGACTGGTAGGGGAAAATTGTGGCTTTCAAGTATTCTTGATAGCAATTTATAAAAGTCAGTTTCTGAAGAACAGTAATACTCAAGAAAGGGTTATTATATTTACAAAATGTAATAAAATACAGAATAATTGAAAGATTTATAAAGAAACAATATTCTGAATAAATCAATCAGTATAATGGGTCTGTTAAATAGTTTATTAATTTGTAACGGAAGGAAAAGTTTAGATTATTGATGAGGTAATTATTGCTTGTATACTGAAACATTGTTAAAATATATTTAATTAGAAAGGTTTCTATTTTTTAAAACATAGCACTGATAACACACCTGTCCCAGGACATTTAAATGCTATATAGAATCAAGTTAAGGTGTAAGAGTATTTTTTAAGAATTATTTAAGAACTTAGGGTTAAATGTATATGATTATCATTAGGAAGGTAAAGTATAGAGAAAATTATGATAATTGCACGACTGTTAATTGGATATATGTTGAATTAAAATGTGTTGGAGGCTACTAGTAGGATATGTATATATATATATAAATAAATTGAAATTAATGATAATAAGAATTTGCTTTCAAACAACGTTTTCTACTTTACCAATTTGTTAATCTTTTGATAAGGTTTCACTTGAGTAAGAAAGCAAATTATGGTAATATAATAATAAGTAGGCCAACAACAGTTTATAATCATAATGAAGTAATTTATTTATGGTGGAACAGACTGCATCATAAATAAATCACTTCATTATGATTATAAATAATTGTTTGCCCCTACTTATTATTAAGGCTTCAGTTTTTTGTTTTTGAAGGTACCTTTATACCTTTAGGATAGTGTTCTAAAAAAGAAATTATGCAATAAAGGAATATTATAAATTAAAATTACCAACAGAGAATAAACAGTTTGTTGTTAATATAAAGTATGAAGTATAGTGCTTTGCATAATTCCTTTTCAGGACCTACATTGTGTAATATTTAGAATGGGGTTGATATATGAAATATTGTTTTTTGTATTTGAGAATGATCTGGAGAGAACAAGTAAATGATTTAAGATATTTAAAAGATGTTGTATGAATAACAACTGAATAGTTTATGACATAAGAATTCTGAAGAATGTTATATGAAATGAAAAATATGTTAATAGCAAAAAAATATTTAAGTGAGATTATAAGCGTAATATTGCCTACAGCTCTGTTTAGTTTATGGCTGTAGATAAAGTTAAATGGAGAGTTATATTTGTATAAATGTTTGTTTAAAGAAATAAGTAACTTTTACTTTCAAAGGTAAGATAGATATGTGAGAACATCTGTGTATCACAACTTACCTCAAAGCAGTAGGAGGCAACATAAGCAGATACTGTAATAACAGCATAAAAAACAGTCCAACTTTTCAAGTACTTTAAGTAGACTTCATTCTTCACCTGTCAAGGAACAGATACATCAGCTTTAAGTATGTCTGTTTACATGTTAAAGCTCTATTTAAAGCAAATAATCAAACATAGTTCCCAAGTACGTTTGATGCTTTATGTCTAATTTATTACGAGTAAATTACACATTTACTTCAATATACTGGTCAGAAATATTAATAAAACAAATGCGTAACACATTATTTTAGATTCATATGTTCCATATAATATACACAGGTTTTACCACAGAGTTCCTGTTAATAAAGCATTTAATTAATGCTGTTACTACTATCTACATATGTAAGGTTGTTAACTGTTTTAATCATTTTTTTTTTTTTTGTCTAACATATCCAGGTATGTGCATTAGTCCAAAAATGCTAATAAACAATATGCAGTGTGTCAGATTTTTAACAGTAGGTGTTAGGTGTCTGTGACTTGTAGGTGATAAATTTCAACAATAAACAAACAGCACATAATCCACTTGTTTTAAAATAATGTATTAAAGCAAGTCAAACATATCTATAAATGTTTGTTACACTGTTGGTTATCACAGTTGTATCCAGAGCTACTTGTCTCTTTTTCATCAAAATCCACACAGGCTGGTTTAGTTACTTTGGAACACAATGTCACAAGATGAATTATTCATCCTGCTCTGTTATTACAATACTATCTGTAATAAATTCACTTTAAAATCACCTCTATAACTGTTGGTTACCACAGATTTATCCAGAGCTTTAAATAATTGTCTGTTTTTCGTCAAAGTCTATACAAACTGGTTGAATTACTTTAGAACATAATTGACAAGCCAAATTCTTCTTCTCTACTCTGTTATTACATTATCATCTGTGATAAATTTACTTACTAAATTGCCACTAACTAACTCAAACTACATTTTGGATGCATATTTCTAGCCTGACAGAGGCCTAGAACATTCCACACACTACTAGATATTATGATGCAATAATAATCAATTAAACAATGAAAAAAATAGAAGGTTCTAATAACATGATGCGATAATACAACGATCATCAATTCACAACAACTGAACTACACAACGTATGATTCGTAAACAGTTACCTAAACAAAGCTGTGATAAACCATTGCTTCTAAAAATAAGTAGATTTAACACTTGCACTATACTTAAACCAACTAAATCATAACACTTGCATGAAACTTAAACAGTCATGTATATCTAACAATAAGCCCCTCTTCAAGAAAAATATTTACACTATTTTTTTATATACAATACACAAAGAATGTTTTAAGTTTATGCACAAAGTCTAATCATTGCATAGGGCATCTGGTAGGGCTTCACTGTGACTGGATTCATGGTTGTGGTCTTGATCGTGTGTTGCACAAGGTCTGTCTTGCTTGGTCTGTCTATGAAGACATCTGCATACCGGCACAGTAGAACTTGTAGTTCTTCTTTCTGCTTGCCAGTCAGATCTTCACTAATGTTGACATCTTTGTACATCTCATTTCCATCTTCTATGACAAAGTCACCATCTCATGGTTCTGCAACTATGATGACCACACCTGAAGTGTGCATCTGTGCTGATTATGTCTTCTTTCCTTTTAAAGTATCTCTTCAGCAGATTGGTATGATAGATCTTGGTGTTGCCATCCACTTTCACCTTATAGTCTATTCTGTTGACCACTTTCTGCACTTCCAAAAGTCCTTTCCATTGCAGGGTGAGTTTGTTATTCTGTATGGGTAGCTGAACCAATACCTTCTGTCGGACCTTGAAATGTCGATTCTTGGCCTTCTTTTCATAGAAGTGCTTCTGATTGCTTTGAGCTACATATAAACTTTCTCCAGCAAGTTGACAAGTCTCCTCCAGTTGATCTCTGATGTCTAACAAGTATTGGTGTATGATCCTCACTTCTGACTCTTCTTCATCTGTCTACAGTTCTTTCAATATCTGCATCAGACCTTGTATTGTTCTTTCATACAGTAACACTTGTGGGACTTCTTGGTAAGCAAATAATACTTCCTTCAGGTACCTGTCCCAGTCATGTGGTCTCTTCTGGCACATCTTCTTTGGCATGCTTTTTAACACTGTTGACTCTCTCACAAAGTCCATTACATCTGGGGTTGCACAAGATGGTAAAGAGTTGCCTAGTGCTAACGAGTCTGAACACCTCTTGCATCAATTTTGATGTAAACTGGCTCCTTCTGTCACTCAAGACTTCTTTCGGAAAGCCTAGTATGCAGAACCCTTCCAGGTGAGCTTCTGCTACTCTCTCCATCTCTATCTTTGGCAGTGGTATGGATTCTGGGCAACATGTCGCATAGTCAACTACTGTCAGACAGAGGTGGTCTGATCAAGTCCACAGCTACTGAGTTAAATGGCTCTTCTGTGAGAGGCATCTTATCTAGTGGCACCTTGACTACCTTTCCTCTAGGTACTGTCCTTTAACAGATGTCATATGATTTGCAGAATCTGTGTGTATCTCCAATGATCTTCCAGCCAATGTCTTCTTTGGTCCTAGGTGTCCTCTCACAATTGATATGTGAGCCAATGGCATCACTTAGGTCTGGTATTCTCTTAGTACTATGATCTGTTTAACTTCCTCAGTTGAACTGCCTTGATAGAGCCATTCCAGTACTCCCTTCCAGTCTTCTGTTCTTTAAGTCCCTTTCCCTTCTATTATGTGCTCAACTTTCTCAGGCAACTTTCTCACAAAGTTTCTGCAATGAAGGGTCTTTC